CTCGAGCGCGCTCATGATCACCTGCGTCCAGCAGTCGTATGCCTGGAAAGTTGAGGAGCTTTGAGAGCTGCCCTTTCCTAAATAATCTCTGCTAGCCAGCCCTTTCCTAAATAATCTCTGCTAGCCAGCCCTTTCCTAAGGAATTTCTGCTAGCCTGCCCTTTCCTAAAGAATCTGTACTAGCCCTCTTTCCGAAAGAAAGTCTGCTAGCTCTTTCCTTACCGTCAGCCCGCCATGCCGGGACATCTTCTCCGAGATCCACGTCCGGTTCAGGTAGGATGCCGCATAGAAATGCCCTGGGTCGGCCAGTAGCGTGGCGATCGTTAGGCGATCATTCCTGGGGTTCGACGACCTGGAAATCGACATTAAAGGACCATTGAAGGCAAATCCATGGCCCGCACGTGTGGCCTGATTTTTTCTTTCAATGATCCTTTAAACCCTACGTTTCCTGTGCCGCCAAGCTGAGCATGGCCACCAGGTTCACTCCAGAAGACGTCCCGCCATCGATCCCCTAAAATTAGGTCTTTCTACCGTATCCTCAGGGACCTACGAATCGCTGCAGAACGGCCATGGCGGCGGTGGAGGCCATGTCCGGGATCTTCATCACACGGTCCAGCACCCCGCGGTCCAGGCTGGAAACACGTATCTCTCTCTCTCTCTCTCTCTCTCTCTCTCTCTCTCTTTCTCTGACTTGCAAGTTCCTTAAACTACCGTACCTGGTCGTCTCGCCCTTCACAGCCCGTCCCGTTGGCAGCGTGCCAATGCCGGCCATACCGGGGGCGATCACTAGATGTTCTCCGGATTCGTTCCTGAAACGGGGGTAACGTTCGCTCTCTCTCTTTGTCTCTCTCTCTCTCTCTCACTCTCGCTCTCTTCCTCTCTCTTTATGTCTCTCTCTTCCGTTTCCTAAGCTTTAGCCTAAGCCGAAGCCCAAACCTAAGCTCATCATTTTTGCTTCGGTCATCAAGTGTAATTAGTAAAGGCGTACTCACACGAAACGCCCCATCAGCGCGTAGTCGCCCATCAGGCTGTATTGTGTGTCGGCGAAAACGAGCTGCGTCGGCACGCCGTACTTCTTCACGTATTTCCCCACCGAGGAGAGAGTGCCACCTGTAATTGGGTGTACGGAGGATTGAAGCGTACTGTAGTGGGCCTGTACGGCGTACTATAGTGTACTCGTATCCTACTATAAAAAAAATAGTGTCTTTGTAACATTTGCAAAAACCGGTTCCATAACTCGAAGGGAAAGAATTTTTGGTCCAGAAATAAGGTGTTAGGGGGTGAGGGTTCGCTCAGATTTTCTAAAATTCGTTTTATACCTTATTTTAACGTTTAAAAATATGGAAATGACTAATTTGCATACGGGTGGGTATTTTGGCTGTCGCGCGCCGGTTGCTTGCTATTTTGGGTTCGCTCTAGCTCTTCGCCGATTGCAAAGCTAACTTTTAAGATCCCGCGCAAGGCCAGGGTGAGGCGTAGCGATTGTATCATATCGTACTCCGTACGCGACACCAACGTGAAATCTGTATCATGGCGTACGTTGTAGGGTCTACTGTAGTTTACACTGTACGGAGTATTTTAGTGTACTAGAAAATCGGCATAAAGGGGTTGACACGTCTTATCCGACAGTACCCACCGGTGCCGACGGGCATCACGAAGAAGTGCGGGTGCTTGACGGCCTGGTTGGAGTCGGCGCTGAGCTGGGCGAGAAACTCGTGGAAGACGTTCACCGACTCGAGCGGGAAGTTTCCACCTTAAGCATTGGAGATAATGGAAAAAGAGAGAGCGAGAGAGAGAGAGAGAGAGAGAGAGAGAGAGAGAGCAGGGATAGAGAGGGCGTGAGAAAGAGAGAGAGAAAGAGCCAGAGAGAGCGAGACGGAAAGCGAGAGAGAGAGAGAAACACCTCAACGAAGACCCACTCTCATGAAACTCTTCCGCTTTATCGGCGTTCCCAAATTGGTTCATGAAAAACCCGTTGGCTTCCTGGGCGATACGACCGGCCTCTGTCCATCTAAACAAGACCGGATAAGCCGAAACCTAAGCTTAAGCCTAAGCTCCTGAAGCTACCTCAACAGGTTGTCGACCTTCTTGATCTTGGCGCCATACTGGGTGATGTGGCCGAGTTTCGTGTCCTCCAGCGTGTTCGGCACCACCGCGATGAACGGGACGCCGACTAGCCGGCACATATAGGCCAACGAGGCGGCCGTGTTGCCGGAAGAAGCTTCGAAGACCGTGGTGTCTGAAAAGAGCTGTGGATCCTAAAGAATCTCTGCTGGGCCCTTTCCTAAAGAATCTCTGCTAGTCTACCCCTGTTACTATCCCTTTAAAACCACCCACTTGGCCCGACATTCCCCTCCACCAGCGCCCACATCATCAGCGCCCAGGCGTAGCGGTGCTTGAGCGTGTCCGTCTTGGAGGCCGTCTCGTTTTTGAAGATGAGGTCGACGGACGGGTTCCCGGGGTACTGTAATGGCATGTAATAACGGAAAATAGGTATCATAAGCTACATTAAATTTGAACAGCGGTGTGTAGACCATCGACCGGCGCTCCAGCCACATCTTGGCGATGGCGTCGCGTCTCCAGGAGTCGTCGGCTGGAAGGCGAGATTGGCTTGGGCTTGGGCTTGGCTTAGGCTTAGGCTTGGGCTTAGACTTAGGTCTAGGCTTAGGCTTAAGCTTACAGCTTAGGCTTAGGCAACGTACCCATGAAAAATGTACGACCGCCGGCGAGCAGCGGCTCCGGGGAGAAGCCGCTGGGAAAGTGCTGGGCGACGACGATGCCGAGCAGTCCGGCCAGCAACCGCAACGAGACCCGCGGCTCCATGGGGCACCCTGAAGGGGGAGGCTAGCAGAGATCCTTTAGGAGAGGACGCGAACAGAGGTTCTTTAGGAAAAAGCAGGCTAGCAGAGATTCTTTGCGATATGAGCGACTTACACCAGGAATACAGCGTCTTTAGCAGCCTAGGCATCTCTCCAACCCTTTAATAGAAGATTCCTAGCCTTCCAGGTCCCTTTAGTAGCCACCAAAAATCAAATCGACGGCTTTTTCTTGAGTTTTGTTTCATTTCCGCTTTTGCCGGCTTTTTTTGAATGTTTTGGCGAGCGTGAACGGGGCCTGCCAGCCAAAATACGAAAAATGGAGGGGGGGTGGCGAGAGGGGGTTGGTGGTGTTTCGGGCAGGCTAGCAGAGATTCTTTAGGAAGGGACGGCTAGCAGGGATCCTTTGGGAAAGGGCGGCTAGCAGAGATTCTTTGGAACGGGCAGGCTAGCAGAGATTTGCCTTTAGGACAAGGGCGGGTCTACCAGACGACTAGGAGAGGGGAAGCGGGAGAGAGCTTGAGAGAGAGAGAGAGGAGAGAGGGGGAAGGCTAGCAGATATTCTTTAGGAAGAGGCAGGCTAGCAGAGATTCGTTAAAACAAAGCAAACTAGCAAAGACTCTTTAGGAAGAATTTAATTTCTCGCCAAAAATTTTCTAGCATCAATTTCGACAATCCCAACAAATTAATCAATTCCCGGGGCCGGCCGTTTTCAGGGGCATTTCGCGACGAGCCGATCACCTCCCCCAAAAATGGGGGGAAATTTGAGGGAAATGCGAACGGCGGACAAAGAAACGCTCGGGATCACAGACGGCATCTCCGCCTTTCGCTGGGCGCCTTGATTTTTCGCGATTCCCTCTCTCGCTTCCGCTTAAAGTTGGCGTTTCTTGGCGGTTGGGGGCGCGAAATGGCGGTTCGGCTAACTGGCACAGATCATTTAGGAAAGGGCTGGCTAGCAGAGAATCTTTAGGAAAGGGGAAATGAGCAGTCATTCCGTTCTGTGTGTTTTGGCGGTTGCCGGAAACCAATTTTTTTTCCTGCGATTCTATACTGCCCTATAAAAAAATATAAACCATTTTTATGGCATTTTACACAGTTTCTAGATCTAAAAAAATATAAAACTAATAAAAAGTTTCGAAAATTTTTGTTTTTTATGGTCCAAAAATGTATGATAAATGACCAAAAAAAGTCAACATTTTCGAATTTTCATTAAATAAAAAAATATTTGTGATAGCTTTCTAGCCATAAAAAAATTACTCAAACGCTACAAAAATACCGAATATATCATCAACAGGTAGGTACAGGTGAAAAACATAAAAAGCCCACCCCCTCGATAAACCCCCCCGCTAACAGAGCAGAACCGGGCAGGCTAGCAGAGATTCTTTAGGAAAAGGGCAGACTAGCAGAAATTCTTTACGCAAAAAAAACGTTTGTACATGCCGTGCCATCCGCAACAATAACAGGTTGGGGGCGCGGTGGGGGTGTGTGCGCGTCTAGGTGTGCGCGGGCGTGTCATTACACTTTTCTTTAAAGTTCCCCAAAAAGGGCAGTGGGAGAGAGAGAGAGAGAGAGAGAGAGAGAGAGAGAGAGAGAAGAGTCGAAACGAGTACAGTCCCCCGGAGATTTCGAGAACCAGTCTAGGTTTCCCCCGAGGCCGCTCGGCGTACGTATCGGGTTTAAAGGGACCGGGAAGGCAAAAATTTGGGACTAAAACCACGGAATAGAAAACTTGAACACCAAAGCTTCTTCTCCAAGCTGATCGAGGACCATCGGAGAGCTGAACGGCAGAGTTATTTATTCTTTAAAGGTGGGGGGTCACGGGCCTGAAGTGCCCTCCTGTTGGCAAATAGACAACGACAAATACAGCGCTAATCTGCTGGCAAAGGTGTTATTCTCGGGCCCAGGCTTACCCTGAAAATTTGAAAAACGTTGGCTAGAATCCAGGACAGCTGGGAAAATTCAGGTTTTAAGGTGCTGAGACTAAACCTAAGCCTAAGCCTAAGCCCAGCCCAAGCCTAAGCCAAGCCACGCCTGAGCCAAGCCTAAGCCTACGCATAAGCATAAGCCTAAGCCTAATACCGAAGCCGCCTAAGCCTGTGGTATGAAGCCTTTTCGCGTGCTGATTTAAATACGATTTCACAGACGTTTATCATAATTAGTATTCTAGAGCTTCCTTCGATCCCTAGTCGGACATCTCGCGCTCCAACTGGTTGATCCGCGATTTCTGAAAAAACCTTCTTCAAAAGTGTTCATCTAACTGACCAGCTGCGAGATCTCGCGGTCCTTGGCCTGCAGCTTGTCGCTGAGGACGGCGACGGCGGCACCTGAATCTCATATCTTCACTTTTTGGTCGAATCAAGTATCTCTCTTTCTCTCTCTCTCTCTCTCTCTCTCTCTCTCTCTCTCGCTCACCTGTATGCTGGGCGACTTCCCGGTTCTTCCATCGTCCAAGCAGGCGGCTGTGCTCCTTGTTGAGGATGTCGTACTCGTGCTGGATGGCCGTCAGTCGTTCCACCGTCTCCTCGTAGCGGATTTCGGCCTGGAAGTGCAAGCAAATAATCTTTGCTATCCTGCCTTTCCTAAAGAATCTCTGCTAGCCTGCTCCTTTCCTAAAGAATCTCTGCTAGCCCCCCACTCACCGTCCGTAGCTTCTTCCTCAGCTCCGCCAGCACTTCGTCGTTCCTGGCTTGTTGAAGTTGGGCTTTGGGCGAACTTGCCGCCCCATTCTGCGACAAAGTGGATGAGGACTTGCTGGGCGGGGTTGGATTCTTTGGCTGTCTGCCAACGAGGGACCCAGTTTTGATGGGCGGCAGGCCCTTGGCGCTCAGCACCTCTTCTTCGGCGTCTGATTCGTTGAGGTGTAGATTTGGAGAGCCTGGAAAAGACGGTCAAGTTGCTGCATAGGAAACTAGCATGGATTCGTTGGGATGGGAGGCGATGGTGGGGACGGTAGAGAGCGAGAGAGAGAGAGAGAGAGAGAGAGAGAGAGGGAGTGAGTGAGAGTGAGAGCGAGAGTGAGAGGCTGGTAAGGGCAGAGAGGGAGGGAGAAAGAACGGGATAGAATGAGAGAGAGAGTGATAGATAGAGAGAGAGAGGAGCGAGAAGAGAATGAGAGGATAGAGAAAGGTGAGCTAGAAAGAGAACCGAGATAGAGAGAGTGAGTGAGGAGAAGAGAGAGAGACAGAGAGAGAGAGCGAGAGAGACAAGATGCAAAAATATCGGTAAAAACTCCTACTTTGACCCACATTCGCACCCCTTTGGTGCGGTGGGCCCCCTTGCAAATTGGGTGTATCGATGCAATTGAGCCCGGAGGGTACATTTTTTGGCGCGGTGAACCAAAGGCGGGTCAGTAGGGTCAGCGGGTCAAGGCGCAGCTGGATTGGTTTAAAAATTCTGCCTGGCCACGGATAGTCGCATTTCACTCAAGAAGTCCAGAACCCCCCACCCCGCAATTGCCATTCTTAGGCTGCGATTAAATAGCACTAGTCCCCGCCTTTAGTGAACGAGGAAGATATCTCTCTCTCTCGCTCTCTCTCTCTCTCTCTCTCTCTCTCTCGCTCACTGGCTGGTAATTGTATACTTTCAATAATGTACTCATTCCAGCCACCGTACCCGGCAATGGAACAACTTGGTGGCGCCAACGAATTGAAGGGCTTGGTGAGAATTTGCAAAATTAAACCCCTAGCCGAGAACTTTTGGGAAAGGCAGTCTAGCAGAGATTCTTTAGGAAAATCTTGCCCCAAAATAATTTTTAGACCCTCCAAGAGAAGAAGCTGGCCGTGCGCAAGCGTCTCGCCATGCTGCTGCACTCCTACAACTGCATGGTACGTCTTGAAAATACGTAAAAACGCTAAGCCTAAGCCTAATCCTACGCGAAGGCCTAAGTCTAAGCCTAGGCAGGCTAGCAGAGATCATTGGCCACATTACGGTAGTCCAATCCACACTTTAGCAAAACATGACGATTTGTGTGCTCGACGAGTGCTGCGCGCTGCGCATTCTGCATCGGCATATTGGTGGATGCGACAAGGGGCGGGCGTGTGAATGTGAGTGGTTTTCTGGGGTTAATGGAGGCAAACCAGCAGGGTTCATTGGGGAATTCGGCCGGCAGGCTAGCGGAAGTTATTCAGGAAGAAAGGGCCGGCTAGCAGAGATTATTGGCAACCTTTAAACACGCTTTCCAGACCCTCAATGCACATCCGCCAAGCTGCTGCTGCAGCATTGGAAGGTTTGCCAGAATTCGCAGTGCGAGATCTGCCGCGCGCTGACCGGGCTGAGGACGCTGGCAGGTATGGACTGCTCTCTCTCTCTCTCTCTCTCTCTCTCTCCCTCTCTCGCTCTTTCTCCATTTTGCTCCATTTTCAGTTTTTGGCAACGTTGGCTGCAAGGAAGAGTCCGATGCCTCTGGAAACTCCTCCTCATCGTCATCCTCCTCCTCATCCTCCTCCTCCGATTCCAACTTCTCAGCCACCGAGTCCGGTTCCTCACTGTCATCTGAATCATCATCATCATCATCATCATCTGATTCTGGTTCCGAGGACTTCTCCGAGACGTCGTCGAGCGCAGATACCAGCATGACGCAGGACTCGGAGACGGAAGAATCGGCAGGATCGGAGAGTTGGGAAGATTCAGAAGATTCCGACGGTGATGTGGATATCGAGGAGACGGGGACGAACGAGTTCGACAGCTGCATCTTCATGGAATCTGATGAGGGCACGTTGACGATGGGTGACGTGCTAGGGGATGAGCCTTTTGGTAAGGAAGCTCTGCTAACCTGCCCTTTCCAAAAGAATCTCTGCTAGTTTGCCCTTTCCTAAAGTATCTCTGCTGGTCTGCCCTTTTCCTAAAGAATCCTTTTCAGTTACGCCCGACGTTTCCCACAGCTGGCACGACGACATCAGTCAGGACGTGCGAAAATCGATGGTCCAGGCCCTGATTCAGGCACGGACGGACTCAGGCTCCGCCCGATCAGGTGAGCAACGTTGTCAGCGGTTTTAAAGGGCCATTGAAGCCAAACCTAGCCGTCAAGAATTTGCCTTGTCGGTCCCTTTAAAATTCGATTTAAGAGGACGAAATGTCGGCCGAGGCCAACGAGAAGCGGTGCTACAACACGTCACGAGACGTTCAGGAATACTACCAGAGCGTGGCATACAAGATTTTCTTGGAGCAGCGGAAACGATTGGAGGGGGTAAGTGGCTAGCAGAGATTCTTCAGGAAATGGCAGACTAGCAGAGATTCTTCAGGAAATGGCAGATAGAAACTAGGAAAGGGCACGCTAGCAGAGATCTTTGGGAAGGGCCGCACAGAGTCTTCGGAAATGGCAGATGAGAGATTCTTTAGGAAAGGGCAGGCTAGCAGAGATTCTTAAGGAAAGGCAGGCTAGCAGAGATTTTTAGGATAAGGCCTCAAATATCCTCTAAATTTAGCAACACAAAATGGCCGAAAAAGTGAAAAACGCCGAGGAGGAGCACAAACTGAGAGCGAAGATCGAGGCCTCCATCAAATTCGTGGGTTTTCAAGAAATCCCTGAAATCTAGGATTTTTCAGCTTGAGGCAAAAGCGGCAATGCTCACAACTGACGATAAAAAGACGCTGAAGAACATCATAACGTCCAAGTTGCTCAGGTGGGTGGCAGAGATTCTTTAGGAAAGGGCAGGCTAGCAGAGATTCTTTAGGAAAGAGCAGGCTAGCAGAGATTCTTGAGAAATACTACAATTTCAGCACCGACGGCGAGGAGCTGCGAAGGCGTGTTGAGCAGGGAATTTCGATGGTCGATTGCGTCCCACTGGCCAAGGTGGAGCGGAAGAGGGCAAAAGCCGGAAAGCAGCGCAGAGCCATGCAGACGATTCTTTATGATTTGGAGAGGAGAAGCCGTCTGCAATACGAGCTGCAGCCATTGGTAGGTTTTTAAGGGGGGCAGGCTATCAGAGATTCCTTAGGAAAGGGCAGGCTAGCAGAGATTCTTTAGGAAAAGGCAGGTTAGCAGAGATTTTTTGGGAAAGGGCAAGCTAGCAAAGATTCTTTGGAAAAAGTCAAGCTAGCAGAGATCCTTGCGGAATCGTATCTCGCCTCATAAATATTGTAACAACTGAATTTTTAGGCCCAACGCGCGGATAAGGGACCAGAACCGGAAATTCAAGCGCTTCCTGAACTCGAGCGAGCTGATGAAGTTCCACAAGCTCAAGGCGTTCAGCAAATTCCGGAGGCGGAATCCACGGAGAATCCGGCGACTCCGGAATTCATCGACAATCCGGAAATTCCGGGAACCAACGAAGCGTCAGAGATCCCGGAATTCGGCTCGGAGCCGGCACCGTACTACCTCATCTGGGATTTCGACAATGTCTCCTTTGGATGCCCGCCCAAGATCTTGCACCATTCGATGGCGCTGTTCCTCGCCGAACTCTATGGAGATGCCGTCAAGTAAGCGTTGTTTTTGGTTCGGACAGGCTAGCAGAGATTCTTTAGGAAAGGGCAGGCTAGCAGAGATTATTTAGGAATCTCCCTGAACACCTTCTTTCAGATGCACCGATGAAGAAGCCGTAACTTACGGCTTCAACGTCGTCTGCAAGATGCTCTGCTTCCTCCAGAACGAAGCCGACATGGAGAAGTGGTTCCGCGTGCGGGTCGAGCTGCTCCAGGAGTTGAAGCAGTACCAAGAAGACCCCGGAAACCCTGTGGCCCGGCCAGAAGATGACCAGCTGTGCCTCAACGTCCTGGACGAACGGCTGGAGGCGATGTGCGGCGCCTATATTCGTGCGCCACACGTGACGCTTCCAGCCGAGAAGATCGAGCCGTTCGGGAAGCTGTCGTGCGACCTGACCGCCCAAGAGAATGTTGATGCTCAGGCGCTGGTGCTGGAGAGTCTGCAGAAAGTGAGGGCTATGCGGGTCGAGTTCAAGAAGGACAGGGAAGGAGTGGCAAACGAGCAAGCCGAACGAGCTTCGCAACCACATCAAGACGGTGTTGAAGCCGTTCAGCAGCTGGAGAATTTCGGGAAGCTCGATCAACCGGATCAGCCAGAGGAACAGATCGAGAAATCCGAGGAGCTCGAGGAGCTCGAGCAGCTTAAAAAAAATCGTATTTCGAGAAAGGTTAGACGTGGTGGTGAAGCAGAGGAGCCCGTAAAGCGAGATGCACTGGCGGAGCAGGAGGAGATCGATGAGAACGAGAGGTTAGCATGGCGCGAAAGGTTCGAGAGGCGTGAGGAGGCCCAGGAGCACGATAGGCTCGAGAGGATGGAGAAGGTCCGGCAATTTGCCATGGAGAGGCTGAAGGTACCGTATTTTTACCGTTTTTAGGAGCCAAACGGGGGAAAGTAGCAGAGATTTTTAAGGAAAGGGCGGGCTTGCAGTGATTCTTTAGGAAGGGCAGGCTAGCAGAGTTCCTTTAAGAATCCTTCAAATTTCCTTTTTTCCAGGAAGAAGCCCGGAAGAAAGAGGAAGACGAAATGGAATGCTACAACCTCATAGCCTGCGGCCTGCTTCTTTGCTTCTTTTTATCATGCGTTGGCGCTTTCCTGACCGCTTTTTCCTAAACGTTCTAGCTTTTCTCGTGTACTGTACATTGCCATTTTTGCCAAATCGTTGTCTGTTTTTTTTGTTACGGATAAATTCTTTTTTCTGAATTTGCAGTTACAGGATTGTGGAAAAATTAAAAACATTTAAAAAGCTCAATTTACTAAGCAAAAGGGCGGCTAGCAGAGATTCTTTGTGAAAAGACAGGCTAGCAGAGATGCTTTTTAAGGGGCCGCGTGTTACCTAAAATACGCAAATAATCCTAGTCTCCTACGATTTAAATTTTTAAGGCAGCTCAACCCATTAAAATCGTTAAGTCCTATAATTTATCATTTCAAGGCGCTAGGTCCTATGGCTCTAAATATTCTCGAGGTGCTGCGCACGCTACCGCTATCAAAACTGTATTTTTGAAGTTGTAATAGCACGAAAACAACGTCCACCCTCTATTCCCCAAAAAGCAAAAAATTTCTCCCCGGCCGGGAATTGAACCCGGGTCTCGCATGTGACAGACGCGGATACTCACCACTATACTACCGAGGACACGAGAGAGGGGAGAGGGGGCGGGGTTGATGAAGGGAAGGGGCGGCAAGAGGGCCAGGTGGAGGCCTGATACCGTTTTTCGGGCGGCGGCCCCAACCGTGCAATGATTATGCCCGGGGGCGACGCTGGGGGCAGATGCTCACCTAGGTCACCCGTAAGGTCGGATTAGGCCGTACTGCGCCTCGGCAGATCGGCTATGTTAATTTCCATCTTTCAGTGACGTTTTTATGACCTTTTTTCTGTAAAATACCACCATTACCTCCTTAAAAAGGGATATAAATTTTTAAATTGGTATTGAATTACTTTGTAATTTTGTAAAGTAAACAGCTAATTTAGCATCTACACAAATACAAATTTTCAGCTCGAGAAAACGTAAAATTTCTGTAGATATCAGGATGATTTCTTTAAAAAATGTAATAACTCTGCTAATTTGCATAGACTCACTCTGTAGTTCTGCAAAATTAGAAATTAATTAAATAAATATTTTGTTGGCTGATCGAATTTTTGCTTAATATTAAAAACCCATGTTTTCGCAACAATTTTGTAATTTTGTAAAGTTTTTTTTGTAATTATAAAGCGATTTCTCAGGTTGTCGGCAACGCTGAAAAATGAGCCACGACAAGTTCATGTCGTTTGACGACTTCTTGGTAAGTATTCTCTTAAGCTAAGGCTTAGGCTAGGTTTAGGCTTGGGCTAGGCTTAAGCCTAGGCTAGTCTTGGGTTTAGGCTTAGGCTTAGGTTTACCCTTCCTAAAGAATCCCTCCTAGCCTACCAACCCTACTTTTAGCCCCTCCCGCCACTGCTCGAGAATATGGTCGATGCTGAGCAGTGCAAGGTTGGTTCGAAATCACAAAGATCTTTGCTAGCTGCCCCTTCCTAAAGAATCTCTGCTAGAGTGCCCCTTTAAAGCAATTTTTTCAGGTCGTCAAATGTCAAGGCGCGACGTGTTCGATCATGGGAAAACTGAGCCAGCATCGGAAATCGGGATGTAATGGACAATTTTGCACATGTGAGTATAATTTTGTAAGGGGCAGGCTAGCAGTGATTCCTTAGGAAATGGCGGGCGAGCAGAGATTCTTTAGGAAATTCCCCGATTCCAGACCCGAACTGCGTCCCACTCCAACGATTAATGAAGGAGCACGAAAATATGTGTGGTATCTACCCGTACTACAATTGTTTCGTCTGCACGGCGTGGCGGCACACGATGTATTTTTATAAAGGTAGGTTCAGGTTTTGCTTAAGCTTGGCTTAGCTTAGACTTAGGCTTAGTCTGAGGCTTAGGCCCTGGCTTAGGCTCAAGCTTCGTCTACGGTTTAGGCTTAGCTCTAGGCTTTGACTCCGACTTAGGCTTAGGTCTGGGCTCGGGGTTAGGCTTGGGCATAAGCTTGGGCTTAGGGGGCTTAGGCTTAGGCTTAGGCTTAGGCTTAGGCTCAGGCGTAGGCTTGACTTTCAGTTCTTCTTTCTTTGCAGGCGCCCCTTCCCTAATGGAGCCGCTGGAGCGCGACAAATGGCTACGTGATCGCTACCCTATGTATTTCCTTCGCCAAGTTGAGACCGGCCTCCAAGCCGTCCAACACGTCCAAGCCGAGCAAAAGCTGCTCGCCGCTGAAGCCGGTCAACTACCTCCAGAAGTTCGGACAGAGCGCGAAAAGCAGCTGAACGCGCTTCTCGAGCTCCTATTCGCGCCGCACGCCGAAGCAATCCGATCGGTCGCTCATGAGCACCAACTCGAAACTGTTCAGAAAATTCTGATAATGCAGCGCGCCCAAGCACGCCAAGCGGTTCAATGTGAGCGACAGGCGCTGGAGTCGCAAGCTAAGCAAACTGAGCGCCAGGCTCAAGCAGCTCAAGTCGCCTCTAAAGCGCAGGCTGAGAAACGGGCTCTAGCCGTTCGGGCAGCTGGAGCTGCTCAAGCGGTGCAACGGGCTGAAGCGCTCCATGCCGAGCACGAGCTGCGGATGCGAGCCGTACAAGCCCTTCGAGTAGAGCACGAGGCTTCAGCGATGCGCGCGAGGCAGGAACAGGAACTTCGTGATGAGCAGTGGGCTCGGGAAGTTCAAGCAGCTCAGGCACTGCAACTTGAGCAAGCTCTATTGATTCAAGAAAATTTGTGTTCCGAAGCGGTTCAAGCGGTTGAGGCTAAGTCGAGAAAACTATCTCAAGTCGTTCAAGCTGGGCCTGGAAAACAAGCTCCAGCTGTTCAAGCGGAGTCTGCCTCCGTCGAAGACCAACTTAAGGCCCTCCAAGCCGTCGAAGCCATGCTCCAACGACAGCGTCAAGCCCTTCACGACCATGAAAAAGTTGCCCAAACAGTTCAAGCAATTCGACCACAAACCGAACAAGCCAATTGGTATGAAGCCGACCAAGCCATCCGAAGCGCCACCGACGCAGTAATGGCCTCGAAGCTCCAAATCCTGAGCCTGACGGTGACCAAGAGCAAAGTCCGCGCGCAAATCATGAAAACGGCGATAGAAAACCAAGTCAATGCGTTCAAGCAGCTTCAAACCGGGCTTGACGGGGATATCGGGGCTTCTGGAGCTGCTCAAGCCGATAGCGCTAAAGATTCTGAAGCCAAGCCTGAAGCTAAGTCAATTCTGGGTCTCCAAGCCGATGCTGAGCTCAGCAGCGGTCTTTTCGAGCAGTTCAGACGAGTTTCGCTAGTCGATCAACCGGAAGAATCCGCAAATTCTGAAGCCAAGCAGGACAAGCCTGTTTTGGGACTCCAAGCCGACGCCGAAGTCAAGAGCAACTTCTTCGAGGAGCTCCACCAAGTTTCCGAAGCCACCCAAGCCAAGCCTACTACGTCGATTCTAGGTGTTCAAGCCGACGCTGAAGTCGAGAGCAAGCTCTTCGAGAAGCTCAACAAAGCCTTTAAGGCCGCTGCGACTAAATCGGAAAAGTCGTTTTTGGACTTTAAAACCGCCGCGCATTTCGCGAGCAACCTTTTCGAGCCGTTCAGACAAGCGTCGTCCGAAGCCCGTAAAGCCCAGGAAGCCACAAATTCTGAAATCAAGCCCGAAGCTAAGCCAATCCTTGGGCTTCAAGCCGATGCCGAGCTCAAGAGCCCCCTCTTCGAGCAGTTCAACACAGTTTCTGAAGCCGCTCAAGCCAGTGAGGCCAAGCCATCTGAAGCCAAGCCGATTCTTGGGGTCCAAGCCGATGCTGAGGTCAACTCAAAATTCTTCTCGCAGCTTGGCCAAGCCGCCGAAGCCGAGAATTTGAAGCAGAAGCCGAAGCTCAAGGCTTTCTTTGGGGCTGATCACCCCCAAACTGCGCTGATCAACGAAGCCCTGCTCAGCCGAAGCCAAGCCGAGGAGGCCGAGAGGATCGCCTGGCGCTCGCAGATGCCGACATCTACTAGACGATTGCTCATCCACCTGGCTGTCAAGGTCGGTTATGGGTCTTTTTGGCTTCAACGATCCTTTAAAAGGGGTTTCACTAAAAAAATCTCGGATAGAATTTTGTTTCCTAAAGAACCTCGGCTAGCCTGCCCTTTCCTAAGCAATCTCTGCTAGCTTGCCCTTTCCTAAAGCATCACTGCTAGCTTACCCATTCCTGAATAATCCCTGCCACTCTACATCCCTTTTTCAGGCTCTACTCGAAGTGAAGCCGGAGTTCCGCCGCACTCCTGCCCACATCAAAGCCCTAGCCGATCGGGCTTGCCTGGCCGAAAAAGCGGCTTTCGCTACGGCGACCAACCGGGAGGAGTACTACTGTAGCCTGACCGACGCTGTTAGCTGGGAGTTCGAGCATGGAACGGCATAACAGGTATGGATTCACGAAGTCCTTCCAAACAATCGAAATTTAATAAGGTCAATATCTAGAATGGCGGAATTCATAATTTCTAAATTTGAAAATTCAGAATGTCGGAAATTTATAACGTGGACATTTCAATTTCAACATTTTGGGAGTTCAAACCCAGCCCCGGCCCCCATAGACCCGTCCACCCTTAAAAAGCTCGCCTCCTCCTCTCTCTCCGTGTCCTCGGTAGTATAGTGGTTAGTATCCGCGTCTGTCACATGCGAGACCCGGGTTCAATTCCCGGCCGGGGAGAAATTTTTTGCTTTTTGGGGAATAGGACCAGCAAGTTATGCTAATGTTTTTGCAACCTAAAAATTCAAAATTTACATCTTTTAGGTGACAGACGCGAAGCTCGCTTCTCCTCTTGATTTTCCACAATTCCTGACGACGATTTGACTCGAGCTTCTCCAATGTCATTTCCGTTTTTACCTCTCTCGTTATTATGCCAGTTCACCTTTGAGAATTCAGGGAATAAAGTGATTGTAAATATGACTACGCAAACAACAAAACTACGTCTTCAAACCACAAATAAAAAGAATACAGACGGGATTAGATTATTTGGGAAGGGAAGGCCAGCAAAGATTTTTTAGGAAAGGGCAGGCTAGCAGAGATTGTTTAGGAATGGAAGCTAGCGTGGATCCTCATCCTATTCCTCGCCCAATCCACCGTACCCGGGTCCCATTTATAGTCTGTTGCCAGGGCAGCCAGGTGCCTCGGCTGGGCGGGTGGCCCCAGCCTACCGCCAGCAAATAATTCTTCAGCTCACCCACGCATCTGCCCAGTGGGAATTTGGCATTATTTTTGGAATCTATATGATGGGGTTGGGGGTGGATGGCTTGCCCCGAGGGCATACCTGACAATGGTGTTGTAAAATGGACGCCATCACACAGGGGGATGGATTCAAATTGGGCGGGCAAGCAAGCAGTGATACTTTAGGAAAATCGGGCGGAGGATAAGCAAAGCTGGGCCAAACCAAAGCCCAAGCCTAAGCCTAAGCTCAAGCCTAAGCTCAATCTAACAGCGTTACAAACTGCAAAAAATACGCAAAAAAGCACAAATGCAGTTGGGTAACTAGCAGAGATTCTTTAGGAGACTCCTACAAGATAACCTCGAGCCCTATAAACCGCAGAGGCTGGAATACGCGGCCCACAGTAGCCAGCCGAGAATGTTTAGGATTTTCGGGAGAAAAGCCGCCGATGGGGTAACTGAAACTTGCTAAAGAATCTCTGCTAGCCTGCCCTTTTCTAAAGAATCTTTGCTAGTCTGCCCTTTCCTAAAGCACCTCTGCTAGCTGCCGGCAGGCTGGGTACCCAAAAATTAAAAAAACCCTACATAATTCCCCCCATAATTTTCGATGGCGCCCGGAGGGCACTATCGCCAATGATGCGCAACTCTCAATATTCGCCGCTGACCCCGGTGGCTGGATTTGTATTTTTGGGCATCAATTTCTGGCGGGTAGTGAGGGCTGGCTGGGGTCAGATTGGAGCTGGGAATTACGGCAACCAAGAAAAATACAAAAAATTAACCCCAAAAGATGATGTGCGGTTGATAAGAGCTGGAGAGCCAGCTTTTTTCGGAAATATCTTTCTGTACTCAATTAACTGCAATTCGCAACGAACGTACATATCTTCTTTACCTCGCTCTAAAGAAACTCTTCTAGCCCGCCCCTTCCTAAAGAATCTCTGCTAGCCTGCCCTTTCCTAAAGAATCTCTGCTAGCCTGCCCTTTCCTAAAGAATCTCTGCTAGCCTGCCCTTTCCTAAAGAATCTCTGCTAGCCGGCCCTTTCCTAAAGAATCTCTGCTAGCCGGCCCTTTCCTAAAGAATCTCTGCTAGCCGGCCCTTTCCTAAAGAATCTCTGCTAGCCTGCCCCTTCTTAAAGAATCTCTGCTAGCCTGCCAGTTCCCTACCTGAACAGCGTCAAGATCATCATTTCTGCGTTCCTAAATGCTCTCTGCTAGCCTGCCGCCCTCCACACAAAAATTCCAGATCCCCAGCCCCAGGCGCTAGCCTGAATTTAGCCAATATGGCTGATGATCAGCCCGCCGCATCAACAGCAACAGGTACAGATGAGCAGCAACAAGGTGGGTGTTGCTCAAGTCATTTTAAAGGGCCATTGAAGACAAAAGTTATACAGATATAACGATTTTTGATTCAGAACCCGCTCATGATCCGCTGAGCTGGCGAGCCAAGTGCAGCCAGCAGTACCGGGAAAGTATGATACAGTGGGTGTGGAAGGTGCTGCACCCGAATGTTCAGCAACATTTGAAGATGGTAGGTTGGAGGATCAAAGAATCCCCACTAGTCTGCCTTTTCTAAAGATCCGCTACTCGCTTCCGTAAGAATCCCCCCCCCCAATTTTTAGGTCACCGATCCCCAACTCGTCTCAGACCGCAACAAACTACAAGAATACGAAATCCGGCTCTTCGATGATTCCGCGTCCTTGGCTGACTACCGTGCAGCGCTGAAACGATATCGAGATATTTACAAGGTAGGTCGGCTTAGCTCAGACTGAAGCCTAGGCTTGGGCTTCGCTTAGGCATAGGCTGGTCCAGGCTTAAGCTTGAGCTTAGGGTTAGGTTTCGCTTAGGCTTCGGCTTGGGCTTAAGATTGCGCCGAGCTAAAACTTAGGCTCAGGCATAGGCTTTGGCTTAGGTTGGTGCTTAAGCTTAGAATTCGGCTTAAGCGTAGGCTTAGGCATGGTTTAGGCTTATGCTCAGCCTTAGGCTTCGAACTGACTCAGGCTCAGACCGAAGCTCTCCTAGAAACGTTTTTTAGCCTGGGACGAAGCAGACAGCTGGCCGACGCGCGGCTAATGAACCACGAGCGCAAGCAGGTAAAAATTTAGCGTTTTCCTGGCGTAATTTATCAGGATTGCGCTTTCACTTTACTTTTTAGCAAAAACCCAGAGCACGGCGGTTCCGAGGAAACGCGAGACTCCGGTGGAAGCGGCGGTGCAGGCAGTGCCGGCAAAGGTGGCTCGACGAGCCTCAATCGACCCGAATGGTGAGTTCCATCAGAATATCTGCTAGCCTGCCCTTTCCTAAAGAATCTCTGCTAGCTTGCCCTCAACCTCCTCTTTTCAGCCGCCTCCACCAGTCAGATTCCTCCTCCTAGCAGCGCTACTCCAATGGCATACAGCAGCCCGCCGGTGCAGCACCCCCAGGAGCAGCTACAGTACTCTCGCTCCACTCCCGGACCCAGGGTGCAGCCGAATTATCAAAATTCTCAAAACCTTGGCTTCGCTGGGCCTATGATGTCGCCGACAGGGTATGGAAATCAGCAAGGAGCCCCGCTGGGATACGGTGGCCAAATGCCGGGCCATATGCAGCACCACCAGGTCGGTTTTAAGGCCTAGCAGAGATTCTTTAGGGAGGCAGGATAGCGGAGATTCTTTAGGAAAAGGCAGGCTAGCAGAGATTCTTTTGGAAACGGCAGACTAGCAGAGATTCTTTAAAAACCCTTAAAATCCGAGGCCCAAAAATTGTCATTTTTAGATGAACTACGGCCCGCCCAGCTTCGACGGCCAGTACAGCCGACGTGCCAGCCAGGATATTCCGCCAGGCTACGACGACCAACCCGCCCACAGGAATCTTATGTACGCGAATCACATGCAAATGCAGATGCAAATTGACCACGCGCCCCCTGGCTACGCACCTCAACCCCAGGCCGTTCAGCACGCGGACGACGGGGATGTACAGGCCGACCAGGAGGTGCTCAGCTTCACCACGCCACAATACGCTCGACCCCCTCAAGCCATACAGTACTCCCCGAGAGTGCCAGGTGACCAGCGACGCGGTGCCGAGGATCGGGAAGGTGAGAAGCTACGGAGAAGCCCTACACTTGACAAGGTTTCGGAAAAGGAGCACGACGTCTCCAAGGAGGTCAAAAAGGCCGAAAAAACCGAAAAAGAAGCCTTAACAACAAAGTCAAAGAAGAAGTCGAAAAACCCTGAAAACGAAGCTGAACATGCTGAAGAAGCTCAAGCCGTTCAGGTTTCAAACAAGCAACGAAGGGCATCTGATCCGAAAGTGGCAGAAAAAGGAAGGAAACTGATTGAGAAGAGCCACAGGCCCCTAAAAAAGAGCGCCGAAGATGATCATCTGGGTGGAGAAGCTCAAGGAGAAACTCAGAAAGCAGAATCTGAAGCTGCTCAAGCTCCCAGGCCCGTTCCAGATCGGCCTAGAGCACTACCAGACCAACCTCAAGCTCATCAAGCTCAGCCGGCCCTCGCGTCGCCCGTTTTTCCGGCCCGTCAATTTCGGCAAGTGCAGCAACGGCCCCTCCCCACCCATGCGCCAGCCCAAAATATGCAAATTTCCCCTCAGCCCGGGTACCACTGGCACCCCGCCGCCCAGGAGATGCACGTCGGGGTTCCCGGATATGACCCCCGACGTCATCGACAGGTTCAGCAGCAGCCGATGCTGATGTCGCCCCGATTTTCCGGCCAGATGGTCATGCAAGTATCGCCTGCCGCCCCGCAAGAGGTGCACTACTACGACGTCGCCCGTCAGCAACCGGTTCAGCACCGACGCAGGTAAGTAACTTTTACTTTCAAGAAAATAAAGAAAACAACCCGTTCAGATCATCTCCACCCCCACCTCCCCATCGAGTCGTCCAGAGCACGATGGAGCAGCGCCGCGAGGTGTCGAGCATCAGCCCCCTGGCCAGCGCGTACAAAGACTGGTTCCGGCTGGACATGACCGCCACCAGCTACACCACCATGGTCACCTTCATCGCGAAGAGCATCTACGAGATGGTCACCTGCGTCGAGGAGAGCGACGCGAAGACGGGCAGAAGGTGTATGACGCTGGGGTTGAAGGTGGAGGAACGCGCCTATGACATGGCCGAATCAACGATGGACTACTTGGACATCACCACAGGCTGGTTGAACGTCATCAAGGAGTGGATCTGCGTCGGCAAGAAGGTCACCGCTGACGACTTGAAGGAGATTGAAAGCGAAGTTTGGAAGAGGATGGAATTTGAAGAAAATGAAGGAGATGAGCAAGAGGAAGAAGATGAGGATGAGCTCCTGGCTGAACAGCTTGAGCGCAGGCTACAAGAAGGGGATGACCAGCAGGACGGAGAGGGTCAGATCGAAGAGGAAGAGAGGGCGATGAGAGCGCAGAGAAAGCTGGAGAGGCAGCGGTTGAGGGAGGAGGAAGCTGAGGAACGGATGAGGGAGCAGGAGAGGGAGATATTGGAGCTGAGCAGGAGCCGGAAGCGGAAGGAGGATGAGGAGAGAACGAGGATGGTGGAAAAGGCGAAGCGGCGGAAACTTGTCGAAGTTGAAGAGGAAGAAGACGATGAGGCGCCCACGTTAATGGTAGGTATTCCTAAAGAATCTTTGCTAGCCCTCCTTTCCCTAAGAGTCTTTGCTAGCCTGCCTTTAAGAAGCTCTGCCTAGTAATAACCTGTTTTTTTCAGGAAGCCGAGCAGATGCGAGAGAGCAGAGCGCGTAGAGAAAAAGAAAGACGCAGAACTGAAGCTGAAGCTGAACAACAGGTACAAGCAGTCATCCCAGAAGCGAACATCACGAAAAGGAAGCGAAAAATTGTAGAAGAAGACGAGGAAGAGCTGGAAGAGCACGAGGCAGTAGATGAGCAAGAAGGAGCGGAAGCTGAGGAAGGGGAAGAAGATGAGGAGCAGGAGGCAGATGAACAAGAGGAAGAAGAAGATGAAGACGAAGATGAGCAAGACGAGGAAGAAGACGAAGAAGATGAAGGATTCGACGACGAAGAAGCCGAGGAAGTCACCGAAGAAGAGCTTGCCGCCGAACTCGCCGAAGTTGAGGTCAGGGAAAGGGAGGAGCTGGAGAGGCTCCAGGCCGCCGCAGCCGACAAAGCCGAACAAGCCGACAAAGCCAGAACGGCCGCGTGTAAGATGAATAAGGTGGAGCAGGTGGTGCTCAAACTGAGGGCCGGAACTCAAAAGCCCGACACACCCGAGCCGGTCAAGCCCACAAAGCCGTTCAAGGGGGGACAGGTCGAGAAGCTGAAGCTTGCCAAGCTTCCTGCGGAACGACGAAAGCAAGGAGAACGAGAAGAACGTGAAGCTCCATCGGAAGTGCCGGCGAAGAAGCCGAAAGGCGCAATTGGAGCGCTAATCGGAAGCGTCATCAAGCTGGCCAAGGCCGCCAAGGCCAAGGAGGTCAGTTTTTGAATCTTAAGTGCTATAGATAGCATACCAAGCCTAAGCCTAAGCCTAGGCCTAAGCCTAAGCCTAAGCCTAAGCCTAAGCCTAAGCCTAACCTAAGCCCTAAGCCTAAGCGAAACCAAGCCTAAGCTCTCAGAATCCTTAGCCCAGGCACTTTTAAAATGTACAATTTTCAGGCTACTACCGTAACGCAGCCAGCCACCTTAACGAAGCCGTAAAACGAGTCAAAATGAAGCTTGTAAAAATCTATTTTTTAGCGTATTTTGTCGTTTTAAAACTTTAATTTAATTTTCAGCAGTTCGATTTTTTCGCTTTTCTATTTTTGTTCTGCGATAGAAATAGTCCCGTCTAGTTGTAGTCTCTTCTCTTATTTTTGCAATGTTTTTTTATCGTTTTTCAAGGTATATATTTCCCACACACTCTGGAATTGATTTTGCTTCTCAAAAATATTCACTTTCTCCCACCCAAAAAATTCACTTTGCATTTGCATTTTCGATGGTTACGATTCGACAAACCGGTTTTTTGCGTTTTGAATAAAATATTTCGGTTTTTGAGAGGATTTTTTGAGATTCAACTACGAGAAGGAGGTTCTTAAGGAAAGGGCAGGCTAGCAGAGATTCTTTAGGAAAGCGCAGGCTAGCAGAGATTCTTAAGGAAAGCGCAGGCTAGCAGAGATTCTTTAGGAAAGGGCAGGCCAGCAGAGATTCTTTTGGAAAGGGCAGGTTAGCAGAGCTTTTAAAGAAAGGGCAGGCCTGCAGAGATTCTTAAGGAAAGGGCAGGCTAGCAGGGATCCCTTGCGCAAGTTTCTCCAGAGCTTCTTTTCCCCCATAGGCAAAGAGCCTAAAGGTTGCCCCAGTTACCATAACCCCGTGTGGCGTTGTGGGTGGTCTGCCCCACCCCGACGCTGCCCCATCCGGCCCTGCCCCAATCTCTCGTCATCAATAAGCACACCCCATCCCAGCGTGAGAGGCTCCCCTTCTACAGGCCTTCACAAAAACGCTTCTCCTTCTCTTCTTCTCCTTCTCTTCCTCCTGGCCTTCCTCCTCTCACACCCCGTAATTCATGGCGCCTCGGCGGAAATTGCGGTCGTCGGCGCCGGCAAAAAACCGGCCCCGGCCCCCGGCTGACGGATCGATGGAGGAGCCCGAGCAGGTGGCCGATGAGGTACCCGATGTGCTTATTGATGCGCTGCTAGGAATCGGGTGTTTTGGGAGGGCTAGCAGAGATTCTTTAGGAAAGGGCAGGCTAGCAGAGATTCTTTAAGAAAGGGCAGGCTAGCAGAGATTCTGTAGGACAGGGCAGGCTGGCAGAGATTCTGTAGGACAGGGCAAACTAGCAGAGATTTTTGAAGAACTTTCCGATTCTCACGTTTTTTGATCCCATAAATTGGAGCTTCAGGAGCCCGAGCTTGAGCCAGCCTGTAACCCCACCAAAAGGCAGGTCTCCCTCCAAGCGCCCCCGTCGTCTGACGTCATCTGAGCGGTCTGGTGCTTCTGAATCCGTGTCGCCGACGCGACGCTCCACCAGACGACGTGCCGGCACGATGGATGAAGTGGTGGGTGCTCAGGTTTAGCCCTAACAAGGTCACCTCAAGTTGGCACGGTGGAATGTCGTAAAATGCTGGCGACTACCCCTAGGTTTTCGACTATTGCGACAAATACAAAAATTTTTCCACGCCATTGATTTGTCCCCCCCCGTTAAGCAACCTTTACCCAGAAAAATTATGCCTATGCTTGGGCATGGCTTAGGCATAAGAAAATTGGGTAATTAACCGCAAACTTGGGTAATTGAACCGGGCGCCGCCGTGCCTTCCCACTCGCCCCCCACCTGGCCCACTGTCTGGACAGATAGTCCAACCCTCTCCACCTCAATTCGTCAGTCGGTTCACCCCGACCTTCTGACCAATGGGTGTCAGGGCTTCCCTTAATGCCTGAAAATGGGTGGAATGGCTCCCTTAATGCCTAAGAAAAGCTTCGGCTTGTGAACTGCTTGAAAAGCTTCGGCTTTGCAGTGAAATACTGGCTTGGCTACGTGTTCTACGTAGTCCAAATGCCTAAGCAACCGGTTGGTAAGGCTGCAGCCACAGGCGCGGCACTTACGAAAAAGCCTGGCACGTACACGTGGTGGCCAAAAAGGCAAATTTCCCTCCAATTTTCGCATTGTCCCCTCCCCCTCTCCCTCTAGCCCCCCCCTCTCCCTCTCTCTCCCCCCCCCCCCCCCCCTCCCCCTTCCCCCCCAAAACCCCCAACCTCCCAAACCCCAAAAACCCCCTGCCCTTTAGTAACTAGCACAGGAAGTAACTGACGAGAACAAACCGGACTTTGGACTTACTACTTTAAGGTACATGAAAGTCGCGACGAACCGGTCGTAGCTGTAGATGAACAGATGGAAATAGACAACGAAGAGGAGAAGCCGAAAATGCCGAAAAATTCTAGAAGACTGCTTAGCCCGGATGCGGTAGGGAGCACCTTAATTTGAAATTCTCCGTACGAAATTTAGGGTAGAACGGAATCGTTGTCGCCAAGGAGAAGGGGGCGGCAGCCTAACACAGCTAATGCCGAGACGGTAGGAAAACATTTTTTAAATGTGGAAGTTAGCAGAGCCTCCTTTAGGAAGGGCAGACTAGCAGTGATTTTTGAGAAATTTCAGAAAGATAACGAGTTTATTTAGGAGCCTGCCCTAGCAGATGATGAAGCAGATCAACAACTCCAAGAGGTACAGAGCCCGGAAAAAGCAGAAAGTGTTTCCCCAACCAGAAGGAGCGGGCGACGACAGCAGAATCAGGAGAGCACGGTTGGTTGTCGCGGGCAGACTAGCAGAGGTTCTTTAGGAAAGGCCAGGCTAGCAGAGACCCATCAGGAAACGGATTTATTGAATTTAATTTTATAGGGCGCGCCAGCTACCGTAATCCCTGTAAACCCTGACGAAGCAGCGGGCCCGGAAACCGACGTCGAAACTTCAAGGTCAAAGCCTCGAGGACGACTTGCCAGAAAGAAGCAAGAGGTGGTGAGTACGGCTTCCGCTCTAAATGCCGACAAACCAGAATCCCGACAATCATAACGCCGACAGTCTTCAACGGCCCTTTAAACAGAAATTTCAGTCTGAACTGCCTGAAGAAGTACCGGAAGGGCAGCAACTTGACGAAGTGGGAAGTGAGGAAATGGAGCCGGCGACCACGGCCCCAAAAAGACGCGGAAGACCCCCGAGAAAAGCTGCGGAATCGGCGGAGGATACGGTAGAAGTCACCACAAATTAGAATGCTTCTTTAGGAACCGGCGACAAGGCGAAATGGCCGAACTTCTCGAAGTCGGTCATCTACCTCAGGGGTCAAAGCTACTGCTACGGTTCCGACTACGCGGCGCTCCGCTCGACTGAAGGACACTGAGGTTTGGAGAGGGGCAAGCTAGAGGAGATTCTTTAGGAAAGGGTAGGCTAGGATTCTTAGGATGGGGGGCCCACCAGGAATTCTTCAGAAAAAGGGCATGTAGCGGTATCATTGAGTATGATTTAAGTACATGTCCAAGCTAGCTTTTCAGGAGCCAGTTTCTGAAGAACACGACGAAGATGCCGGGCAGGCAGGAGAAGGCGAACACGCCGAAGGGGCTGAACAACCTGGCCCCTCGTCTGCCGCTGCACAACAACATGAAGAGGATGATGAAGATGAGGAGGATGATGACGACCCCCTTGACCTTGATGAGCAGTGCATGGCGCGTGTGATGGCAAAGTACCCGGGGCGGACGCGGAAGCAAGTGGTCACCGCCCTGAAGGCGCTCAGGGCCAAGAGCCGAGCAGCTGCGAACGCTGCCTGGAGGCCGCCGAACGTGACGCGGGAGCAGATGGTGAGGGAGGCTAGCAGCGATTCTTTGGGAAAGGGCAAGCTGGCAGAGGTTTTTAGGAAGGGGAAGCTAGCAGAGATTCTTTGAGAAACGGCAGGCTAGCAAGGATTCTTTAGGAATGGCACTAATCTAAAAATAATATTTTTAGGCGGAGCCCAGCTTCCAGCGATGGTTCATGAAGGAGATGTTCAACGCAACGATTTGCTTGGTGAGGGATAGCGAGAGAGAGAGAGAAAGATAGAGAGCGAGTGAGAGTGAGAAGGAGATGCGAGAGAGAGCGAGAGAGAGAGAGAGAGAGAGAGAGAGAGAATATTCGAATTTTTCAGCCACTACCCTGCGACCATAATCGACATCGCCATTACATCGCCTTGCAGCGCCACGCTATCCAATGCAACTTACCAGACGGCGAGGAGTGCCAATGTGAGTTTTCCGCAAAGAAACGCGGCTAGTTTTCCTATCCGGCTGGAGGCTAGCAGAGATTCTTTAGGGAAGGGCAAGCTAGCAGCCATTCTTTGAGCTAACCCCTCGATTCTAGACAAAGAATGCGCGCTCACGAAAGACATGATGAAGCACTGGCGCACCTGTGTGAATGGGTGCTTCATCTGCAACGAGCCGCACCAGGCCCACGTGCTGCGCCTTGATGACAACAACTACCCACCTCCAGGTATCGCTTAAGGTTACAAAACGGCTTTTTGTTTTGTTTAGAAGACGTCATGGGCTTGGCGGGACGCGATGCACCGCTCGATCAGGATCCAAGCAAGTTTTAAGGGATTTGAAGCACGAAAGAAACCGGCTTCATTCCTAAGCCTAAGCCTAAGTCTAAGCCTAAGCGTAAGCCTAAGCCTAAGCCTAAGCCCAAGCCTAAGCCTAAGCCTAAGCCTAAGCCCAAGCCTAAGCCTAGCCTAAGCCTAAGCCTAAGCCTAAGCCTAAGCCTAAGCCTAAGCCTAAGCCTAAGCCTAAGCCTAAGCCTAAGCCTAAGCCTAAGCCTAAGCCTAAGCCTAAGCCTAAGCCTAAGCCTAAGCCTAAGCCTAAGCCTAAGCCTAAGCCTAAGCTAAGCTGAGCCTAAGCATAAACCTAACCGAAGCCTAAGCCTAAGCCAAGCCTAAGCCTAGCCTAAGCTTTTTTAAAAGCCGAATTTTTTAGACGGGCAGCGCAAAGTCGAAAAGCCTTGGCACCGCCCCCACGGTCCGGGGGTCCGAAACGACGTCGTCTACGGCTACACCAAGATCATCTTCCCTCCAAATCCCCAGATTCAACACAAATACGTCATCGAGGAGGCCAAACTGGCGTGGGCCGAGGAGGAGGCCATCTACCGGACGGCCGACACGCTCGAGCAGTACAAGGAAATGGTGCAGCCGAGAATGGATGCGCTGGCAGCGCGGTTTGAGGAGAGATGGGGCAGCATGGATCCGCCGATGGATAAGACACCATTCCAGAGGACCGTGAAGGATGATGAGTTTCCGTATAGATGGCAGCAAAGGTGAGCAGAGAATTTTTAGGAAGGGGGGGGGGAAAGAAATTAATTAGGGAAGAGGCAGTCTAGCAGAGACTTTTTGGGATCGATTTTTCAGATACTTTACAAGCCTCCGCCACAGCCTCTACCGTACCTACTGCCGTGACCTATTCCCGGATCTGGTTGAGCCCAGCTTCAACCACCCCCAGATCCGCCCCTACTACCTGTGGGCCCAGCGGGCCGAGCGGTCCGTCTTCTACGCGTGCTCGTCGTACGATGAGTATTGGCCGAAAGTGCAGGACATTTATGCAAGGGTGAGTGAAGAGAGAGTGAGAGGAGAGAGAGAGAGAGAGAGAGAGAGAGGAGAGAAAGAGAGACAGCGCCAACTTTTCCAGCAAATCCAGCGGCTCCAAGCCATGTGGGAAGAAAACAGACGGAATGCCTGGAAGCGTGGCGTGTCTGAAGCCGACCGGAAACGGATTGTAGACGACGTCATCAGGGATGGGATCGCTAATGGGGTGCCGTGGGACGGTAAGAGTTTCGCAAAAAGTCTCTGCCAGTTTCCCTTTCCTTAAGGATCACTGCTAGCTAGCCCTTTCTCTCTCGGTCTCTCGTTCTCTCTGTCTCTCTCTCTACCTCTCTATCTCTCGCTCTCTCTGTATCCCTCTTACTGTCTCTCTTTATCGCTCTCTCTCTCTCTCCCCTCTCTCTCTCGTTCTCTCTGTGTCTCGCTCTCGTTCTCTCTCTGTCTATCTCGCTCTCTCTCGCTCTCATTCTCTCACTTTATTACTCTTTTTTCAGGCGAATTCGCAATGTACCACCGCCGAGACGGGTACGCGTACGAGCAGCGCGTGTGGGACACCGCCACCTCGAAGGAGGAGTACCAGCAAACAGTCCTCGACTACCTGACCGGACGCTCTACCAATGAGACCGGAACCTCTCAAGATCATCTACACGAGCCGGACGGCATGCTTGAAGACCTCGCCAACCTGTCCCCCGAAGACCGCCTCAAGGCCCTCGAAGCCAAGCTGGCACGCGTCAAGAAGATGCGCGCCGAGATCAAGGCGGCCACCGACGCACGCATGGCCAAGATCGAGGAGTTGAACAAGCGGGCGGCGATGCGAGCCCAAGTTTCGCCGAGTTTGGGCGGGGCTCAAGCAGCTCAGACCTCTTCTCAAGCGTCTCCGGGCCTTGCTCAAGTTCAAGGGGTTCAAGCCGAACAGGCCCGCCAAAGGCCCCAAGCTTCGGCAGGCCCAGATCAAACGCAACGAGTTCGAGAAGTGTCGCAAGTCTCACCAAGCCCGGCGCATGATCAAGGAGTTCAGGCCCGGCCTCAAGCTTCGCCGAACTCAGCCCCAGCGCCACAAGCTCGTCCAGTTCAGCCCCAAGCTGAACCGGCTCGACCGAAAACTGCCAAATCCCCTGCCGAAGACGTCAAGCGGGAGCTCAAGTCCTCAGCTGATGCTCAAGATGAAGTCGAAATCAAGGACGAAGCTATTGAGCGCCAAGCCCAAGCCGTTCAACGGAAGCGGAGGGCTCAAGTAGACGACCACCAAGCCCAAGCTGAACCCGGAAAGTCGATTTCCGGCAAGACTAACAGGGCTGGCTTGAGCTCCTCCAGCGGCCCCGACGACTTCAAGCCGGTGAAGCCCGAGAAGCTCGTCTACCAGAAGTATGTGGCACCCCAGAAAATGGCGAAAAACCTTGCGGCCATCCACGATCAGCCGGGTCCAAGTGGGATGGGCACCAAGTTGGAGGAGTTCGACCGGACGCCGAAAGTCGAACGCCACGAGGTTGAGCTCCCAGAAAATTCAGATTCCGAGGGAGAAGATCCGGAGGAGGCTGTTTCAGCGAAAAAGAGCAAGAAAGCGCTGTGAAATCGTCTCAGAAAGGATAAAAATGCAAATATGCAAATTGATTTTTGTAAATAGATTTTAATGCTGTCTGGATGTATTTTATTGTTTTAAAGGGGCCAGGTATTTCTTAAAGATTCTTTAGGAAAAGGCAGGCTAGACAGAGATTCTTTAGGAACGTAACTCCTGGTCCCTTTAAAGCACAATTAGCATTTTCATATCAAAACTAATAGCATGAATTTCTTTGAATAGTTTGGTCGTCAATATTGTGATTATTTTGCATCCAAAAACCATTTTCGTGTAGCTAGCTGGTACCCTATTTTTTCATCTTTATGAACCCAATACTTACCCTAGGCAATCAATTTTTATCCAAAAAATATGCCCCGATTTTTGTGTCTCCCCCTTGCCGAAGTTTAAAGGGCTTGGGAAGTCAGGACATCACGGAAAATCACGATTTTTAAGCGAAGTTTTGACCTTTAAGGCCCTTTAAAAGCCATTCACAACCCCAAAAACCTCAGCCGCATTAGAAAATGATCTGAAAAACCCCCACCAAAACCCAGGCGAACCAATTTAACGGAATAAATTTTCAGTTGGATGGTGGTGAAAATGAAGAAAATACAGGAGCAAGTGAGAGTGAGAGAGAGAGCGAGAGAGACAGCGAGCGAGTTAGAGAGAGTTAGAGTGAGAGAAAGAAACAGAGAGCGAGAGAGACGCAGAGTGAAGAAGAGAGAGACGGACAAAGAGCGAGAGCGACAGAGAGGGGAAGGAGACGGCGAGAGAGGGAGAGAGAGGGAGAGAGAAAGAGAGAGTGAGAGAGCGAGAGAGAGAGAGCCAGAAAATTCCCTAGTACTTATGCAAATTAACCAAACCCAATCCACCCACTTGTCTGCGTTTCGATCTCGTGGATTTTCTGGGGCCTACGCTGCAGATTCTCCAGCTTTGCGGCCATTTCCGAATTCCGTCCCTGGAGCCGTTGGTTCTCCTTCGCGATTGCTGCATTTTCCTAAGCTCATAAATTGGAGTGGGCAGGCTAGCAGAGATCCTTGCAGAACCCAGAGCTACTTTAAAGGGCCATTGAAGGCAAATCCATAGCCCCTAGGCTCTTGGAAATCAGCCCATTCAGCCCTTTAGCTGTTTCGGGACCCGTCTGGGAAGAAAGAGCTGTGCCCGAGGCAGTTTTTAGGATTAACAAGGAGGGGTACTGTAGCTGGCGTTGGCAGGGCCAAGAATCGAAGGCGCGGGGCTCGATTTTGCCTTCGATGGTCCTTTAAATGGAACCGGCCGGTGTCCTTACCTGTCTACTGCGTGACAATTGGGTTTCCAGTCCCTTTAGGCGCTCGCTGAGCAGCTCGATTTGTTGGAGCTGCTGCTCGGCTGCAGATTTGGTGGAGCGCAGATCACGAAGTCTAAAAAAGTGCTTTTGGCAAGGGCAAGCTAGGAGAGATTCTATAGGAAAGGGCAGGCTAACAGAGACCCTTTGGCAAAGAGCAGGCTAGCAGTGATTCTTTAGGAAATGGCAGGCTAGCAAAGATTCTTTAGGAAACCTCTTCCTCACCTCCTCTCCATTCTCTCCAACTCCGTTTGCCGGCCGGCTTCATCCCGCTTCATTTCCTCGATTCTTCGGTCCCGTTTCTCGATCTGGCCCTTCAACTCGTCTTCCCTTTCTACAATTTCCTAAAGAAAAGGGTTACTGTAACTCGAAAAAAAAAAGTTAAAATTAGCTGGAAAATTCTATTCACCTTCAGCCGCTTCTTCAAAATCACAATCGTCTGCTCGGCCTTCTTCTTTTCATGCCATTTTGCCACTTCTTCCTGAAAAATTGACTAGGCAGGCTAGCAGAGATTCTTTAGGAAAGGGCAGGCTAGCAGAGATTTTTTAGGAAAGGCAGGCTAGCAGAGATTCTTTAGGAAAGGGCAGGCAAGCAGAGATTCTTTAGGAAAGGGCAGGCTAGCAGAGATTCTTTAGAAAAGGGCAGGCTAGCAAAGATTCTTTAGGAACGGGCAGATAGCAGAGATTCTTTGCTCTACCGTAGCATTCTTCCGCTCTTCCGAATTCTGCGTATTCCGAATCGTCTCGTTTTGAATGGCGACCGTCCTCTGCAGCGCCCGCGTCTCTCTACGCAGCCTCTCGCATTCAGTCCGAAGCCTCGTTGTCTGAATCAATTTCATTAAATTAATTAAATTATAGTTTCAGTTAATTAATAAACTCGTAGTTTAAAGGACCAGTGAAGAACAAATCCTTTGCCGGCCGGCCCTTTATCCGTTGCGGGACCCGTCTCGGACCAAGTACTGTGCCCCGAGGCATTTTTTGGTTTACAGGGAGGTTCCAAATAAGGTAGCGGTATTTGGCTAAGGGCCAAAAATGGCGAGACTGAATTTGCCTTCAGCGGTCCTTTAAAGGGCCATTCAAGTGACGGGCGGCTCACCTCAGCATCCCCCTGGGTGGCTAAGCGATTGCGCTTGGCTTCCAACTCTTGCAGAGCATCATCCCTGATTTTTTCGCAGGTGGCGAGGAGGTCCTGAAATAGAAAATGTCCTGATTTTCCTGAGGAATCTCTGCTAGCCTGCTCTTTCCTAAAGAATCTCTGCTAGTTCGCTTACCTTATTTGCCGTCGTCAGCCGCCTTACACGCTCCTTTAACGTCCGGATCTCATTTTGAACGGCAAAGTCGGGTCGGCGTACTCTCTGCTCGGGAATTCAGGTATCTAGAGTACAGTAAGCCCAGTGGTACAAAATGTGAGTTACGGTAGGCGCGGCGGGAGTCTCCTTGATCGCTTTTTCACTAGATTTTGTCGCTTCTTCTGTAGGGCTCGAAAACTGGACCGGGTCCGTCTGCTGAGAGGCCTGAAAACCAAGAGTAAACCTAAGCCTAAGCCTAAGCCAAAGCCTAGCCTAGGCTAAGCCTAAGCCAAGTCTAAGCCTAAGCCAGAGCCCAGCCTTAGCCTGAGCATAAGCTGACCAAAAACCCACACTCGCCACCCTGGTGCTCCGTCCGGTCCGTTCTCTTGCGAGCATGACGTTGGCCTGCTCGAGCTCCTCGACCTGAAAAACCCCAAATGACCGCTGCTAGCCTGCTCGCTCCTAAATGGCCTCTGCTAGCCTCGCTCACCAGGCTTTGAAGCCGGATCGATTCTCCCAGAGCTTCATCCCGCTCCTTCTCCAGATTGTCGTTGACGGTAGAGATTTCCTTGAAGACCTCAACTTCTCGGAAGACCTAAAAATACAATCATGGAAGAGAGGGGGAGAGAGAGTGAGAGAGAGAGAAAGAGAGAGAAAGAGAGAGAGAGAGAGAGAGAGAGAGAGAGAAAGAGAAAAGAGAGAGAGAGAGGGAGTGAGAGCGAGAAAGAGAAGAGAGAGAGAGAGAGAGAGAGAGAGAGAAAGAGAGATATGGAGAGAGAGCCAGAGAGAGAGGAGAGAGAGAGAGAGAGAGACAGCCCGACTAACCTCTCTCGGCGGCTCTTCCATCCTCTCCTTCAGCAGCTTCTTGTAGTGCTCGATGGCTTCCTCCCTCTGCGCTAGCTGCTCCTGAAGAAAACAAATTTTTAAGGGCAATCGAAGCCAAATTCAGTCCCGCCCTTTCTGTTTTCGCCTTGATTTGCCTTCCACGACCCTTTAAAGGACCCTAAAAGTAAAAAATGCCCCACCTTATAGGTCTGGATGCAAATCTGGGTGGCCTTCTTCATGCGCGCGAACTGCTCCTCGAACGGCTTGCGGTTGTCCTTAACGATGGTGCGGACGATCACCTGAAAAGAAATTTACGGTGCTTTTAAATGGTTTAAAGGCCCCGGGAAGGCAAATCCATAGCCTTAGTCGCTTGGCAATTCGTCAACCGCCCCCTTTAACCGTTCAATGCCAAAAATCGAAGGGGCTGGCAAGGATTTGCCTTCAATAGTCCTTTAAAGGGAACGCGACAGCTCTGTTTCTGCCGGAAATGACAAACCTTTGGCCCGGCTTCACTATCAGCCCCGCTGTCTGTAGTCGATTCGCTTTCGTAGTCTTCTTGGTAGCCTTCTTCGGCTTCGGGCTGAAAAAGCAACACGGGGTAGCTAGCAGAGATTTTTTAGGAAAGGGCAGGCTAGCCGAGATTATTTTAAAAAGCTTACCGATGTCTCCTTCTCGATTTTCTCAATTTTTGCTACTCTCTTGGGCTTTTCCTCGGAGTCGAATTCCCTCCAAACGTCCCAAGAAATCAGGGCTTCAACGTGTTCCTAAATATTGAAAAAGACCGCTTGTTTTCGCTTCGAATTCCCACCTTGACGACCTTGTTCAACTCCTCGCACTCCAGCGTCTTCTTCGAGAGGTCGGCTTCGAGTTTTTGGGTCTAAGGCGGGAGTGAGCAGAAGAGAGAGAAGAGCGTAAGAGAGAGCGAGAGAGAGAGAGAGAGAGAGAGAGAACGAGAGTGAGAGAGAGGTAGCTTACCAAAGCCTGGCTGATCCTCTGCTGCTCCCTCAGCTGCCCGACTTCAAGCAGGGCACCGCTCAGAGCACGTTTCACCCGATTCGGGTCCTGGTTTTCGGCCTAAAAATTTGCAAACCAAATTTTCCAAGTTTTCAATCTTACATCAGCAATTTCCTGCGTTTTTCTATTGGCTTCGATTGAGCGAAGCTGGCTTTCCACGTCAAGTCGAATTTTTTCGACCTAAAATGCTATTTTGTTTTTACCATGAAACCTAGGACAGGCTAGCAGAGATTCTTTAGGAAAGGGCAGGCTAGCAGAGATTCTTTAGGAAAGGGCAGGCTAGCAGAGATTCTTTAGTAGAGGGCAGGCTAGCAGCGATTCTCTAGGAAATCCAGCCAAGTTACCATCTGATCTATATAATCCTCAATCGCTGCATATTCCTCCATCGTCGACCAAAATATTCCCTCCACCTAATTTGCATATTTTAGGTCCCAAAATTTTTGTTGCCAAACCAAATTTTCCGCGTAATTTTCGATGGTGTTCATAGCCGGGATATTGAGGAGGGCGGAGGTAGGAATTTCAGGTGCAAATAGCAATTATTCGGAATGGTCGACCCCGAGGGGAAAAAGGCGGCTTTTTCGTATCGGTGGGGCCCTGGTTGGGGAGGCTAATTTTGCTGTCGCCTAGTAACTTTGAGATGTCAGAAAAGGGCCTGAAAGGCCAAGACAAGGGCGAAAATAGACTGGTATTAGCCTAGGGAAATCGTTGAAAGTGCGAGCTAAATTTCCTAGCGTAATCGGATGGTATGGGCGGTTTTGGTGTGCTTTGGAAATAGCTCTGCTAGCTACCGCACCTTTTCCTGAAGAATCTCTGCCAGCTTGCCATTTCCTAAAGAATCTCTGCTAGCCTGCCCTTGCTTAAAGAACCTCTGCTAGCCTGCCCTTTCCCAAAAACTATCTGCTAGCCTGCCCTTTCCTAAAGAATCTCTGCTAGCCTGCCCTTTCCTAAAGAATCTCTGCTAGCTTGCCATTTCCTAACAACCGGAAACTCCTTACTCTCTCCGCCTTCTCCTGGCTCTCCTCATCTCTCAAGATCAGCTCCCCGATTTTCGAGTGGAAAATCTGGATCTGGTCGAGCGTCAGCCCGTCGATACGGTTGTTTTTTTCCTTCTGAAAATACAGGTAAAAACAGAAATAAAAATGCTAAATGCTACGACGGCCAACCTGAAGTGTGGTTTGTAGCAACTGGACGGCATGCATCAGATGGCGTTTTTGGGCCTGCCATTGGCCTTGGGCTTTTTCGAATCGGCTGAAAAAAGAACTATCTTGCTCTCCCTCTCTCTCGCTCTCTCTCTCTCTCTCTCTCTCTCTCTCGCTCTTTCCCTTACTTAAAATGCTCATTCCCTCGCCGTTTATCAGAATCTCTCTCCATCGCTTCTTCCGCTTGCTCGCGAATCGTTTGTAAAAGTCGACGCTCGATTTCACCTAAAAATTCAGATCAGCCAGCCCAGCAGAGATCATTTAGGAATCCTGGACCCAAAAAAATTACCCAAGATCTCCCGCTGATCACTACGATTTTCCATATCCTCCAGGAAGCGCTTGATCTCCTCGTTTTCGAGCTGAAAAATGGAGCGGTTTCCCTCTCTCTCTCTCTCTCTCTCTCTCTTACCTGCAATATATCGCATTCCCGGCTCCAAAACTCGTTCTGGTCAGTGAGGATCTCGAGCATTTTCTGAAAGATTTTTGGCTATGAATGATTCCTAAGGAACCTCTGCTAGCTTGCCCCCGCGCTTAGCTTTCTGCAAAAGTCTCTGCTAGCTTGCCTATCCTTGGTCAAAGTCGGTTCCACAAGGATCGTTGCTTGCTTACCGAGAGCTGAAAAACGCGCTCCTACCGATCAAGGATGGATCGCTGCTAGCATGCCAAATCCGAAAATCTGGCCCCTAAGAATCTCTGCTAGCTTGCCCAGCGTTTTTCAAGAAACTTTAAGGCAGAGCCTGGCTTAAAAAAAACGTGTTTTTGCCTTTCCAGCCACCTTCCAGAAAATTACCTTTAGATATGCATTCCTTGCCAACAGCTCATCGTACTCCTCTCTTTGATGTGTAGTAATGAGGGAAATTAGTGGCTGCTCGGTAACGGTAGTCTGAAAAGTCTCAATAACCGACGGACAGTAGCCCTACCGTAGCCGCGGCACTTGGCCCAAAGGCGTCCGTCTTTAGAAGCGCGTCGTACTTGATGCGGAGCGTCTCGTAGTCGGTGAGGGGGACGCTGCGGAGAAGCTTTTCCATGAGACGAGCGGTCTCGATCGATGAGAGGTCCTGAATGGAAGTATTACGGTAGGGGGATATGTTAAGGAATCCCTGCTAGCCTGCCATTTCCTGAAGAATCTCTGCCAGCCTGCCCTCCCCTAAAAAAAATCTCTGCTACTCACCAAGTCATACTGCAGCCTGGCTCAGTCTTCTTGTTGGCTCCTCTCGTCGGGATCAGCTTGGATTTGAGGCGCATCACCTGCTCCTCAGAACGGTGCAATTTCCTGAAAGTCAAATGGTCTCTCTTAGCCAGCTCGTTCCCAAAAATCGCTGCTAGCCTGCCTTGCCTTTTTGTCGATTCGAAGCTCGCTCAGCCCGCTTGGCCCTGACCCTTTCGGCCACCATTTTCGCGACGTTTCCGCCATGCGGCGCTCGAGCCTCGTCGCCGCCGAGTTCGATGGCGCGAAGGGCGTTCTGGGTTGGTGGGGTTACGGTAGTTGGGGCGTAACGAAACCCTAGGCGAGCATCGACCACAAACCTCAATCTCGACTTTGTGACTTCGCCGAGTTGGGCTTCATCATCCCCATTGTCGGCCTGGCGCTCCTTTCGAGGTGTTCAATGTGTTGTAGGCTAAAGTGGGGGGTGGTAGAGACAGTGAGAGAGAGAGGAGGGTAGAGGGAGAGAACTGAGAGAGAGAGGGAGAGAAAGGGAGAGAGATTTCAACCCAATCCAAGCCGCTCGTAAGCCAACCAACGACCTTTTCGAAGCCGCCGTGGCGGTGGGCATTTGCTTCAAAATCTCGTCCTTCGCGTCCAATTCTAAAGAATCTCTGCTAGACGGCCTTTCGAAATACCCACCGTCAACAGTTGCATCATCCCTCATAAAGTGTGGCAATCAGAATCGCCTGTGTGTTTTCCACATCGCCACGCTGCGAGTCTAGCAGCTGGGCGGCTTGGCGTTGACGGTGTTCTTTGGCTTTTGGCCCTGAAAAGAAGTGGTTTTAGTGAGAGAGAAAGCTAGGTGAGAGAGAGAGATAGAGAGAAATGGAGAGAGAGAGAGAGAACTGCCGCTACCCCTTGGCTCTTCCAGCCCTCTGCGCTCGGCTTACGTCGTCTCTGGCCTCAGCGCGAAAATCCGGATCTTCAGAGAGTTTTCGGCTTTCTTGGGAGTCATGCTCTTCCTCAGCTTGCTGCTCCGCTACGGCGTCTTCAGGGGAGCTTCAGTTTTTTGGCCTTCAGGCTTGGGCCTATCGTCTTTGGTGGAGGTCCAAGTTCGGCGTATGGGCCGAGCTCAATCTCTGAAAGGGGCAGGCTAGCATAGGGATTCCTTAGGACAGGGCAGGTGCTAGGCTAGAAATTCTTTGTGAAAATAAGGGTTTTTTATTTCCAAAACCTCACTTGCAACATGGTGCTCTGCTTGACGAGCTTCTGAATTTGCTCGTCCCGGAAGTGAAGCTGTGTTTGCAGACGTTTCACCTCCTCGAGCTGATCGCCATATTTGAGCTACAAAAAATTGATTGAAGCGAGAGAGAAAGAGAGAGAGAGAGAGAGAGAGAGCGAGTGAGAGAGCGAGAGAGAGGGGGGGTGAGAGAGAGGGACAGAGAGAGCGAGAGAG